TCTACTTTGAAAGAAATTTTTACAAAGTATTTTTATTTCAAATAAGAATTTTTTTAAAACTCTTTCAAATTTTCCATCTAGAAAGATGGAGGATTGCAAAAATTTCAAAGCACGTGGTGTCTTTACACATGATCATCATCTCTTACAATAATCTTTTCAAAGGTTCTAGCTGATGTAAGATTGAGTTAGTTGAGTTTGCATCGTTGGCTTGTGAAAAAAAAACAGTATTTTATTTCTTTTTTTTGTGGTAACTGAATGATGATAATCAAATATGAATTTTTCTTCTTTCTTGATTGATTCATTGAAGTCACAATTTGTGGAAAAAAGTTTTTTTTTCTATTTCAATACCTACTTTAAGATGTCTCGTGTTTTTCACTTCAATGATAGTTTTTTGTCTTATCAATAGTCTATCCAAACAAAAATATTTCAACCAAATGAAAGACAACTCCAAAATTTGTTGATTTTTTTAATGAACATTTTATAATAAAGATTTGTACTTGATGCAATATGCAAGAGTGTGTAAATATAAATTTCTGATAGATAACACAATCTTGTAAACATTCATATAAAATGTAAACATTCATACATAAGATGTAAAAATTCATATAAACAATGTAACAAGAAAATACAAAGGATTTTAAGGCATTCAGACTCAACTTCAACAATACGTGGTTCACTTTTTTCAGACTGTGATCAGGAAAACATATGGCTACATTGAAAAAAAAAAAAACAATATTCAGAGCAAGCTATGTCTTTTCATCATATATAGTTGTAGCAATAACTTCTTAACCTGAATCATCCAAGCTATCCTTTTATACAACACTAAATCCTCTGTTTTAACTCATCTAGTGATAATAGTAATCTTCATAATTCATTTAATTATTCTACATTTAATTATTCTACAAAAAATTTTAGAAAAAAACATATTATAACTACATTGTAAAATAAGATTAAAACAGTATGTATGGAAGTAACACAAAGTGATGAGTAATTTTTGCTTTTCATGATAAATTTTCATAATAAAAAAATGTATCCTACAACTCTTAAAAAAATATCCTTGGTCAATGTATCAGTTGGATTGGATTTATTTTCAACCTTGACTAGCTCAATCCTTCAATAAAAAATTTCATCTATGATAAGAGTGATATCTCATGTTGATGTGTTTCAATCTATTGTCCATCATTTGATTTGTAACGCAGTTTGACATTCACAATGAAGATTGACTACCTTGTGTTTCAAAACCATCTTAATGATAAGATTAATCAACCACATGGTTTACTTGGCTACTTCTATCGCCACTACATATTGAACTTCCGTTCTGGCTTGAGCTACAAACTTTTGCAAAGTATATCTCCAAGTATTGCATTCATCTTCAAGTGTAAATACACATCTAGTTTTGATATTCTTCTTGCCTGGATTCTGTTTATAGTTTGCATTAATGTAGCGTAACAAGTATTATAAATTGCATTGCAGTAAACTATCAAACAATGTATCATAATGCTTAGTATTTTGCAGGTACCTGAATTTTTCTTTTCATTGTCTGTCAATGCATACTTCTTGGATTTGATATGTATTTGCTGACTTTGTTCAAAACTAGAGCAATATTAGTACTTGTGCACATCTTCAAATATATAAGATCTGTCGCAACTTTGTCATATGAAATTATTAACATCTTTTACTTCTTAATGACATTGATTTGACATTGAGTTGCAAAAAGTTTGAAGTGTGTTGGAAAAAACCATCTACACTTCTTTAGTTCAGACATGTTACATCTATCAAACGCAAGTTAAACATACTTGACTTGACTCACTTATAGCCTTGTCTTCTCCAAATACCTGTGAATATTCATCACTCGTATACTCTCAGACTTATCCAAATCCTTCAACTCAAATAAAGACCTTAGCTTGTTTTTGAATCTGTAAATGTTGGATTGACAAATTTAAGAATATAAAACTTTAAAATAATTAAATAATAAAACTGAAGATCTCATTATTCAACTTTTTCAGGTATAAACATTGAATCTTACAAACATTTTACAAATATGTACGCTTATTCAACTTGGTTAGCACATAGTGATAATATGATCTTGATTTGAAACAAAATGAAGCATTTTAATACAATAGAATTAAGCTTTTTAAAAATAAACTTGAATGAAATGTAGCAATTTTGCAAAGCATGAAAGTATTGATTAATATTACGATTTGAAAGTCAACAAAATTTACAAAATATCAACAACTAATAAACAATAAATGACTTTACAAATTTACACACAACCGGTTGCTAAGTTTAAATGATTTCCAATTTTTAATTTTTATTTAAAATAATTATAATCAAAATTGCAAACTAATATTGAGTTAGATTCTGATTTTCTGATATGCTATAATTTGTATGTTTTACATCAAAAAATGTGGTTAGAATAGAGTTAAAATTTAATTCCTAAATACGCTATAATTTATATATTGTGTTTTTATGGCACTCTTTGATCTTGTTTGATGTTCTCACTACTTTTTCCAAATTAATTAAGATATGTAAAATATGAATTTTGCAAAAAAAATAAAAAAAATGTTTTGCAAATTGTAAAACCTATATATGTAAGTTTTCAATTAATGAAACAAGAAATTGATGATTTTGTAAACTAGCAAAAATTTCAAAGAAGACGTGTTGAATTCTTGTTTTATTTGAAAAATATAAATTTCACTTTCAATGTTTTTATATCATATTATAATGATATTTTTGCAGTTAAAAACAGACTTGATGTCAATACATTTTTAGCTTTTTTGACCTACAAGAGCTTCAGCTTTTGTAAATTCTAATTATTGAATAAAAAAATCATGATGTAATAGAAAGCTTTTGAAATTGAAGGTACAAAAATAAGACCTATGATTGGAAAAAGGCAATTGTGTTAAAATATAAATTCCAAAAATACAAATAAAACGTGAAATAGAGTAGACTATCAATACCCTTTTATCTATCCATTTTAATTTTATCAGAAGCTTTTTGACCGATGAATGACATTGAGAACAACATCATATAATATGAAAAGCACCATATTATGGAATTTCATGATATTTTTAAGAAAATGTTCTATGAATTGCAGATTTAAGTTTGCTTCAAATAGTTATAAAATTGTATATATATTCATTAACATGTTCAGAATTTAACTTGGATTCTTGATAAAATATATTTGTATATAAATCTTGTAAAAAATCTGCATATAATATTTCATTACTGAATCATGAATTATATACCATTGTTAATCATGAAGATACATGAAGAGTGTAGAAGTTACATTTTACAGTAAATAAGTTAGAATTCTAAATCAAATTTGTGTATAAATTCAACACATAAGTACAAATGTAATTTATGTATATTGAAAAAAAATGAAAAGAAATTTAGGATGTGTTTTTTTTCATAATTTTAATGGAGAATAAATATATTTGTTATCGAATAATCTAATTATTTTCTTATTACATTTTTTGGAAATTATGTCTTTATCATAATTTTATTGTAATAAAGTTAATGATTAAGAAGAATAAGAAACAACGTTTGAGATGAGTGAAAATAAAATATCAATCATGAAAGAGATCAGATTTTATATTATCAACAATAGAAAAACATACAAAACATCAAGCCATTAGAGAGTGAACACAAATAATAAAAGTGATGAAGGATGTTATTGTATACTCCAGAAAATAATCTCAACTTAACCACAAGAAATATTGATGAAAATTTTAAATTTAGATCAAATGTAAATTTTCAAATGAAATGAGATTAAAATGATTTCAAGAGACACCATCTTGCATGTAATCTGGTAATATACATTGGGCAGCATAGAAGGTGGACAATAAAGAAATATCAAAACTTAATAATTTCAGTGGTTGACAAACACTTTCATGGAATACTTTTATCATAGATGACTGAAACAAAGCAAAGGGATAGTACTAGAAATGGGTAAAACATGAAATTTCCAAGCTATTCTATTTAATCTCTTGGATCCTACACCAAAATCAATTATCATCAAAATTATCATGCGGCTAAATCCAAATTATCTTCTGTGTCATTTAGATTGAATTCTTTTGCAAAATAGTGATTTAAGCGGTCTTATATTTGGAGTCGATGTGCCACCTGACAATGTAGAGCAACTCTTCTCCATTGTATATCAAACATTAACATGGAACTGATTGAAACGAAAGCCATGTTAGCTTGTACCGTACTAGCCAATTGAAAAATAGTCGAAAGACATTGTCTAGCCAGGTAAGCTCAATGTTAATGCATGATGAAAACTATGGAAAAAGAGCGGGCATGGGAGTGTTGACTAGGATTTAGCGTGAGCTTGGTGTTTAGTATGGCATTCTAACTACTCCCACAACTTGAACAATGAGATATGTAGGGTTTAGGGTTTAGCTATGGAGCGTGACATGGTTGGTACGTTTACTATGGAATCCTATATTCTCTGAAGTTGTTGAAATCTTCAAGAGAATGCTGTGATCATTTGGCACACTTCGTTTAAATTGATTCTAGAGACTGCATACCGAGGTTTGCACTTATCGAGAGTCTACATTACTGTATGTTCGTAGTTTTTGTCGAGATATAAGTTCTCGGTAGAATAACGGAAATATATTGTATTGAGTGCAGATATCGTGGATCATTCCATTCACTTTCACGTGTTTCCGCTCTGTGTTCAAATTGTTCTTGTAATTTGTCTCATTGAGTCGACAACTGATGATTCTAGTCTCGTGGTCTAAGCGCACAGCTTTACATATGATAACGAAGATGATAAGGAGCCACGTGTCGAGTTATTCTTACAAGTGAAAACTGAATGGTCCGTGGTTCACTTCTACCTGAAGTAATTTTTGCACAGGAGAGCTCGAAGCGTGAAGTTTCTCATATTGGACTGACTTACTCCTTAGTTCTGACAGCTTCCCATCTACAAGGTATGCAGGTACTTTGAACACGAATCGCAAGGTTCTGGACAGAATGTGTACTCGGACTAAAACCTTATCAAAGCCGAGGATGGTATCGATGCTGGGAGCCACACAATTGTCACCATGGTAATAAAGGCGTCCTGTCTAAATTCTGAAGAGTGCGTGGCTCGCCTTAGCTCTACACGCGCCATTCTTCTCAGGTATAACGAGTGAGAAAGAATTTCAAAGCTGCGCACCAGACTGGACTGCAGGATCACATTGTGCTCGAGCTAGACCCGAGAAATTTTGCACGCAGGCTTCTTTGCAAAATGGTTCCGTTCGCACTGTCTTTGCCTATGGGAGGACAGGTTATCATGGCTGCGGGTGCAAAGTCTGAAAAGAAAGGGTTTTTCGATTGGCTGAGTGATGCGTTGGACAAAGACGGACTGCTGGAAGTTGATCCTCTCTTAGGGAAGGCAGGGGACGGAAAGAGTGGCCCATCTCCGGCTGGAAAGAAGGGTCCTGCATCGGCTCCACAAAAGAAGTTGAATTTTTTTAAGAAGTGATCACTTACGGAGGTATATTTCTGTCTACGCCATGACCACTGCCTAATAAGTTCGAGCCTAGGCCCCACTCTGATAGTATCCGGCTTTGATTTGGATGATCCTATGTTTCTAAGACGATTCTTCAAGATTTATGTTTCATGTTATGTTTCGTTATTTCATGTATGGGCCATGCCGGTAAGCATCGAGTATAGTCAAACATCAGAGAAGACAGTGCCTGTGCACTACAGTTTATACGTTGAATGGAGAGAGAGGGAGAGAGAGAGAGAGAGAGAGAGAGAGAGAGAACTGATGTATTGCGTTCTCAATTCAGATCAAGTAGACGATTGCAAAAGATCAAGATTATTTTGAGACGGCAAGGGGGGACGATACACCCTGTCGTTGTCGGACTTGAAAGCATTTTATTCTGCAACTGGCTTGAGGAATTACTTATGTAAAGATTCAAATACGTACACAAAGCGAATAGAGTAATCTGCCTCTTCTCAGGCCAACGGGCGAACACTGGAAGCAATATGGCTGGACAGGTGTAAATATTGCCACCTTACTATGGAGACTCTTGCAACCACGATCTTATCGATGTCTCATTTGCTGCTTTTTCTGGAGTAGTGCCGCAGGCGGTAGAACGTCGTGATTGCTATAACTCTTGATGTTTGTCAATTTTTAAAGAGATGATATTGAATGTGCTTGGGGGAGTTTTAAATGACTGATGTACCCATTACCACTTCTATCTTTGTGTGATTTGTTGCTAATATAATTTCCTTCTATCGTCCGATACCAAGAACTTGTACCAGCATTCTTCATGAAAATTCGGAGACGTGATAGTGAACTCGCCCTTCTCGAAGTGTATTGTCGAAGTAACCACTTGATTGTCTGCTTCCTCGCAATGAGAAGGGCTTTTGTTGCACCTGAATTGTGAAGCGAATATGATCCCTTGTGCAGAAAGTCGTCGTACAAAGTGGCTACGCTTCTGCGACGACATTTTCTGGAAGTGTCGTCCACACATCACGGTGTCTTGAGTTTCGTCTTGCCGACAGTATCTTTCTGAGAAAGTACATGCTATCAATGGCTACGCTGAATATGAAGATGAAGTAGTTTCGTTGTGTATGAGATGGCTTTTGAAGCATCTGAATGTTTGTTGCCGATCACAGTTATCGGAACTATCAGCAATTCTTATCACATTGTTTTTTGTAAAATTCAGCTCTGGACGGAGGAAGATTCAAAGTTATACATTTCCGAAAAGGTGGAATAGAACGTAGATGGTAAATGTATAACAACGAAAGATATAACTCTATGCTCGGAATAAATATTATCCTCAGTCCGAGCAAATGTAACAATCTGACGTTAAATCGTGCACTGAACGAGAGTATACAAGCTGTAGCAAGCGACTTCTACTTAGGAACAATATTTTCAAGATCGTGTACGTGCACCAGTAAATGAAGATAGGAGGATGAGATTTAACTCCCTTGGATATGTGCAAATGCAAATTAATAGTGCATGTATACATACGTATATATACATCAATTACCAACCTACGTATCACCGATCAATAACTTCGCGATGTGTATCTATCTACTGGCAAGTTGAAAACTCACTGGTAAGATGAAAATGACTGCTCACTACATTCCACTGCATGCAGTGGAAAGATCAATATTGAACGCAAGTCTCAACGAAAAATTTAAAATTTTCAATTGAATACCAAGTTTCTCGCCATCGGTTATCACTTTCACTAGTTGCCCTCTGTAACTTTTAGGTCGAAATCTGAGCGTGTATGCTTCTAAATTAGTGACATTGCCACACATTCACGTTACCACACGACGTACATAGATATAAACATACTGTAGTGACCGCGATGATCGGATAGGAACTCTGGAAAATCGGTGACAGAACTTGCGACAGAGGTTCGGAGCGTGCGAGGCTCATCTTTCTGGAGTCATCCAAACGGATTGTTGCAATTCCATTTACAGTTCATACCGGATTGTGAATGAAGGGATAACAGTCAAGGACTCCATATACATGTGCATGGAGAGAACAAAATTGTTTATGTCCATCGTGGAAAATATGCCGAATTAGTGATCTGGACATCGAAACGTTTGTTCGCCTGTAGGTGAACGAAGTTAATTTTATCGAAACTTACGCAACACGAGGTTTTTTAAAACATAACTTTGGATTTTCTTAAATATATGTACAGCAGATGTTACAAGTGGCACCATTGACACCATCAAAGTTTAAGAGGATTGACCGTATGTGGACTGTACAGATGGAGTCAGTTTCAGAAAAAGTCCGTCGTGGAAGTAGATATTTCATCTCAGCTTTCTATTCACATATCTTATTTAGACGGTAGAAGATGGAGCAGTGAGACTTTGATTTCATAGTTCAGGCAAATTCAATTTGTGTTCGATAGCCGCCCAGATATAGCTCTTACAGTACACTGTATAAATCGCCTTCAGGGCAGAAGTTGCACTCAACTCCGGTCGTAGCTAAAGCTTATCGGTACACTGTCAAGTTTCTTCACTAGAAAATCGAAACACATAATTTCTATCTGATGACGAAGACAGTAACATTCAACTTCCATCTCAATTTGGGCGCCTCTAAATTAGATGCTTCCAAGGCTCCCCGAGTGAATTCTTCCGGAATGGGCAGGGAATGGTTGCGCACTTCCCCTACTTCCGACATTCGATTAGCATTGATGATTGCCCTCTCCTCACAGGCCGCTAGACAATCGCAGCGTGGTGGGTCTCTTACGTCCAGCAGTATTTTGAGTTCTAGCGATGACGCGTGTCATAAAATTCGTCTCTGCCTAAAGCTCATTTTGTAGGAATTCTGGTTCGTACAAGACTTTGTTCACAGGTTCCCGTATCACGATGAAGATCACCTCACCTTTGAAGCTGAGGCGGACTCTATTCTATGTTTTTGTTCTCGTGGGTATATCTGAGAAGAGAAGTTGATCACTGAGTAAGGCATAAAGGAGGACTTGACGATCTAGGCAATGAACTGTTCGTATTTTATAGCAATTAAGTGACTGAAGGCCTCACCTTATCTGCCTCGATTTTGCAGTTGTTGAAAGTCTGGCATCAGAGAGTTTCAAGTATGTTTTTCCTCGGCGACAGAACGGTCAAAATCCAGAAGAAGCTTTCATGAGCGGTGAGACTTGTTCAGACTTGTTGCTTAAATTGCTGCCTCTGGTTGTCATCTTCGTAGTTCATTCATTACTGTGAGAGAAGTGACTAATGTTGTGGAACATATCACTTTCATGAGTGATGCAGTCGCTCTTGTCGATTCGCCTTGACGTATGCATGCTTCGTCGTGAACAGTTCCTGATCTCGAAACAATTCCATACAGAGTTATTCGCAAAGAACCTGGTTACGAGATCCGCGTGGTTGAGGTGATTGTTCGATTAATCTATTGATCAGCATGTTCAACCTTGTCCTTTGCAATTCATGATTTAATTGTAGCTCTGCTTGTGTGCTAATTGTTATACCTACCACTTTGAACCTTCTTCTTTGAATAACGCAAGCGTTCTCTGGGTTTGTGGAAATCAATCTCGAGTTCTCATAGCCCTCTACGGCTCAGGCCCGGGGCTTAATGCTCTTTTCTCCATCGTTTGCAAGTCACCTACAAAGTTTTTTAGAATTCACTAAATTTACGATAGCTTACCATTTATGTTCCTCTTGCAGTCTTATATGATAGCTGAAACTGATATGTCCGGAGAGAGTGGATTTGACTTCGTCAGTTCAGGTCAAGCATTCAATACTCTTGCTGAATACATTTTCGGAAAGGTGAGATTCCTTTTTCCGAAAGTGCAATTGCCGTATATTGAAGTTTAATCGCTCAGCCCTACGTTCCAGCTTGATCTCGCCAGCTTAATTAGTGCGAGAATCTGTTACTAAATATGTTATCACTATAATAGAGCGTGTAGTATCCTTCTCAACAGCGAAGAGTCAACCATCTTACGGAGAATCCAGAGTATAAAGCGCGCCAGATTGATCTATCTTGTTTTGTTTTGCAGAACACCTCGAGGGAAACGATGCCAATGAACACACCGGTGCTTCTACAAAGGAACGAAACAAAATCTCAAAAGATGGAGATGACTACTCCTGTGTTCACACAGAAGGTTTATCCTCCTATTTCAGTTTTGTTCGTAAAGCAATATGCAGAGGAAATTACCTTCAGTTCTTCCCACTGGATTGCTAAGATCTGGATTTGTTCTTGGTTCAGGCCTCAGAAGAAGGCACATGGCGCATGGCCTTTTTAATACCTTCAAAGTTTGATGAAAGTAATCTGCCAATTCCAGACAATACTTCAGTCAAAATTAGAAGGGTTCCATCCAAGACAGTGGCTGTGACTGCTTTCTCGGGTACAAATCTCACCAGTTATCTTTTAAGCTTTACTAAGAATAAAAAAACAGGACTAGATGCGTTATCAGTGGTTGTACTTAATGGTGCATATTACATGTATAGAAAGGTGAAATGAGCATAACACACAGTAATTGCCGAGTCGATGTCGTCCGAATACTATATCTTGCTTCCAAATAAGTTCATCTTCTCTCGGTGTTGTGAGTTTTACATCATCTCCTCGTACTTCAGATTCAAGAGCCACCGGTATTTGAATTTTGAAGAGACGCCTCTGTCAGTTTCAAGCAATATTGTTATCTAGAAACTGCAAGCCTAATTCCTGGGTAGAATTATATTTTCTGCGGTCCACTGTAATGACCCGACCGAGTTGTGTGATGGCCAAGTGATCCTTGCCACTAACCTAAACCCTAAACCATGTTGGTGATGGTCATGGGCCCAGTGACCATCACCAATTGCATCTCCCGTGTTATCCTGATTCAAACGAATGCTCAAATATATTATTTTTGTCGTTATCTTCCTTCCATCGTGTGGACTTTCTGTTTGTTCCTGTGTGACCAGACTTATCAGCAGCTAGAAGTTGCACAACAACTTGGATAATCTCATTTGTCAAGATCGGTTGTTATTCTTCTGACTACTTTTCGCGATTTGTTACGGGCGTTCCCAATGGATAGTTCGATTCACTGCTTTTCCTCAGCTCTCACGGTTGATTATGCGGTAATGTTCGTCTAATGCAAGTACTTGCATTTAACAATCACCAATGACAATGTCCATGAGTTTAAGCAGGCTTTGTAACAGAAGACGTTTTGGAAAAGAAGGAAAGAGAGATACGACGGGCGCTGGAGAAAGATAATCAAGTGCGAACGAAAGGATCCGTTCTGCCTGAGATCGCTCAGGTACGTGTAAACAGATGTAAAATCAGATGCCTCAATTCAAGTCAGGCCAACCCAAACTGGTTGGCCAAGTGTGTATTGCGGTCTGGGACCTAATACCCGTGGAGTGAATTACTTACTGCAATTTTTGAACACCAATTAAAGACACTCATGGTGCCAGTAGAATTATTCTGATGAACTGGCAGTTGTTTGATGTTGCAGTACAATCCACCGTTTACTCCCCCTTTCATGCGTCGGAACGAAGTCTCAGTGGAAGTCGAGTACAAAGCATGAGAGAAGCAAACCTCTTCTGATTGAAACTGGAAGGGGACCCAATGAATCTATAAAACACTGTACCACTACTTGTTTTTTTCTAAGACCAATTGTCTTCGGCCAGTTTCAGTACATACGTTCCATCTCACCAGCTTATCGCCTTCAAAGCTCTGACTACATGTTACTGGTTACTACTTGCTCTCAAGTGGTTGAGACGATCCGAGACATGAAATTCTTGGAGTTTAGTGGCTCGCAGTGATGTCTCGTAACATAACAATACACAATTGCTTGATATGAAACATTTACGGCACAGCCCCTTAAGTATCGAAGAGTTGACTCGTCAATGTATGATTGTCAAATATCTCTCTCGTATCTATGAGCTACGCATCATGCTGCGCGAACCATTGTGCTTGTAGAATATTCTTGTACAGTAGACCATTAGGAATTTCAGGTTCTTATGTCCTGTAAACAGCATTGGATCAAGTCTCAATAAATTACCTCTTTTTTTACTTTATTATAGCTAGAGATTTAATCATGTTCGTGCAAGATTATAGGGCAGGAAATTAATAAGCCTGTACCATGATGATGTTAGTATTGTGTACAATCCCATCTCCCTCGAATTTCATATGGTGTGATGCAAAGGGCAACATTTTACTTCAGATGTGTACCTAACGGACAATAACCATGAGCAGCGAACTATGCTCACCCATGTTATTCAAATTGCGCCGATGTATTGAAAGTGCCTAATATATATTGACCGCTTACACCAAGTCTTAATTGGATCTCACAAACAAAAGTTCGTTCACTTTTGTTGAATAGCTTATACTTCCATCATATAAGTTTGACTTTAATTTGGAGCTTGATGAGGGGATGCAAGAAACCAAAGGCAGCATTCAATACATGATGGTAAATGTGGAGACTCCTCTTTGCTTTCACCATAAGAGAATACTGAATTTAGTAGTGATATACCGACTCAATGTATAAGTTGAATTCACTATTTCAATGATTTTCTTTCTGTAGATATCAGTCAACTTATGCGTCTCATACATGCTAAACTCAAGCGTCAAGGTTGCCTACAACTAAGATTTGAGTACCACTTCCATGAATCTCTAATAACATTTCCTCAAACTCATTGTACATAGCGTTGTGTCATCATAACATTTCCAATGCATAATCTTTCTCGTAATCCAAATTTTCCAAACATCTTACTTGTGTCAATCTACCACATAAGTGCCATTAGTTTCGTTCTCGCCTTAGTAGTTAAAGCGTACGAAAATTCCATCTTGTGTATATAGTTCTTCATGACGAGATCCAAAGTGTTGCTACCACATGGAGCACCTCAAACTTTATTTTCTCTCAAACTAAGGATGTCAAGACGCATTTACAAGTTATTAACGATGTGATTAATCACATTATTAATAGCAGGTTTTCAAAACATTATTAAATCTTTCAAAAGTTGAAATTGCCAAAATACAACCTTGTGTAATATAGATTCTTTGAATTGTTCAAGATTCAAAATTGACTCCTAAAATGATGCCAACAAATAATTTAATTGTTTCAAAAGATCTTCGAGATGGATGCATCTTTCCGCAATGCATCTTTTTGCTTCAATACATATCATATAGCATTTTAAAAACATTTAACAAATCATAATATAACAATATCTATTTGGTTGCATTTAATTGTTTCAGTATCTTTAACAACTTTGATCAAAGATTTGATTCTCAAGGGTATGCGACCAAACTCTTACATGCGTCAATGAAAGCGTATAGAGCGTTGATGTTGGGTTCATCAAATTATTGGTAAAAAGACTTGTTTTTCTTATCATTGAACTATTTTGTAGACTTTTTGACTACGTATGTCACATAATTCGTAATGGTATGATCAATGCATCATAACAAGTCAAATTTGGTTGAAGAGTCATCTTCGACAACAATGTTTGATTTCCAATCCGCCACGACAATGATTTTATCGAACGTCAAATTCTTAATACACAAGATGTTCAAAGCTTCCTTGAATTTGTCCAAAACAATAACGGTTTTGTGACTCTCATCTCCAACAAACTTCACATGACATGTTTGATCCAACATCGTAAATTTTTCATTGATGTAATTTTTTGTGACAGATATGTAAACTATAATCTTACTAATGTTCGTCTAGATATCAAGTATGTTTGACAACAGACTTGACATGCAATGTTTGATGAAAAGGAGCAAATTTTTCATCTATGTAATTCGTCGTGATTGATATGTAAGCTATATTCTTAATAATATTTGTCTAGATATCAAGCATGTTTGACAACAGTCTTCACATGCAAATTTTGATTAATCAAAACAACTTTTTCATCAATGTAACTTGTTGTGATAGATATGTAAGTTTTATTCTTGATAATGTTTGTCTAGATATCAAGTATGCTTGCCATAAATACGTCAGTATCAATGTGTTTTTTAGGATGCTTTGCCATTATAGCATGACTTTTATCGTGATAAACTCAATATTGCATTTTGTGGTAATTGGTTTACACAACATGTCATCAACCATGAGTAGTTTATTGCCTCCACACCAATGTCCAGAGTTTTTGAACAAGCACTTTCAAATTCTTGTTTGGAGATCGTGCAGAATCTGGAAACCCCAAACATTATCTTCTTTTTATTATGTGTAGTGAGGATAAACTTTGTTGCAAATACATCCATTGCTTCATTCTCTTATCTTTCATCCTTAAGACATTTATATGTATTCATGGTGCTGATAGCTGTGATTTTCTTAAACGTGTATATTTTACAAAACTGAACCACGTTACGTATTTGCAGTCCTTATCATGTTGATGCATGATGCCAAACTTTTTTCAAAGAGCACAGTTTCAACAGAATCACAGTTCACATCATTTGGCAACATCTTCTTTAATGATTTTTTGATCACTTGTGCATTTTGTGAACTAGACCTAGATACTACATCTCAATAATACAATTGCTGGTAAAATTTTTGTCTGAAGATTCACAAGTATTGTCTCGTGCAATCATGGAACAATTTAATTTGCGCAATGCTGCGAACTTTGTCACAGAATGCAAGAAGATTCTCATAGTTCAATGTCTATTCATCAATAAGTGTTGCAAACTGAAAGTGAACTTTAGACTGGTCTTATAACTTAATTTAAAGACCTGTGTATTGCAAGTGCCGATACATGAGTTAAGACTCTTTCTGAGATATTTGCTTGATGGGATCACATCAAGAACATATTTGCTTCATGGTACCCATCAAGATTTCGGTTTACCCGATGGGACTTCAAGAATGACACACGTCACACTGTTCTAGTATGAACAAACGGTGCGTTTGTCAGTTGCCTTGGCGGAACTCGAGCAAGTGAAAAGCGGTCGTCAGTCATACTTCGTCTCACCTTGGCGGAGCTTGAGCGAGTGGAAAGCGGTCGTCAGTCATACATCGTCTCGCCTTGGCGGATCTAGAGCGAGAGGTGGTGAAAAGCGGTCGTCGTACTTTGTCCCGCCTTGGCAAAGCTCGAGCGAGAGTTGGTGGAAAGCGGTTGTTAGTCATACTTTGTCTTGCCTTGGCGGAGCTCAAGCGAGAGCTGGTGGAAAGCGGTCGTTAGTCATACTTCGTCTAAACATTAGCTTTGATGTGCGACGAGAAAGATACCCTCTTTATTGCCCCTCCTTCACCTTCAAGAGGCCTTTTTCCAGCTTGACCTTATCCCAATTTGATCGCAGAACGGGACCTTGTAATCTTGTCAGAGTTCACAGATTGCTTGCGCAACATTGTGTCCGTTGTCAAAAGGCGAGGTAAAATCTTGATTGCTCTACAACTAGATAATTTTACTGAACTTGTTCTCGGAACTGAATGAATTGATGTCTTCATGGAATTCCTCAAGTAGTCTTAGCTCATTGTGAGGACTGAAGAATTAGGTTTTACTGAACTTGTTCTCGGAACTGAATGAATTGATGTCTTCGTGGAATTCCTCAAGTAGTCTTAGCTCATTGTGAGGACTGAAGAATTAGGTTCAGCCATATTGTTTAACTGTGACCTTGTGTATGCGGGAAGACGTTCGAGCAATCAGTTGGCACAAAAAACTTTGACCCAAGCCATCCATACGATTCATGTCATGCATTCTCCTACATATTGTCAATCATATTTTTTTCTTTGTGGTTACAGTTGTAACCTAGGTTCTAGCATGTCGTCTCATGCTTCATTCTATGCATGAGAGTATAAAATATTGTTTCCCTCGTATTTTTGAAATGCAGACAATTATGCAAATAAGAGAGTTGTGCGAGTCTTAAAAGTCTTATCATGCTTCTTCTCTCTCTCAACTTCATTATCTTGCTTCGTCTTACTTTAATTATCTCTGCTGACTTTGTGATGCGTACCTCGTGTTATCTTCTTGACAATATTTTTTGACAAATGAAATCTCTTAATGAGAACTTGCGATAACTTCTGTTCTTTTTGAAACCTGCTCAGGTTTACCAGTATACTCTTACGGCCTTTTTTTTTTTTTTCTTTCACTAGCCGAGCCTGCAGTCTGGTGGTTCACACTAGGTTTTAACTCAAGTTTTCTTTCATATGGCGTTATAATTTCTTCCCTCTAAATGACTTCTTATACCCAGAGGATTGGATTTCTTGAGTGTTCTCTTTTGTGTTTATATTATATTATGCATTTTCTTTATTACTTTTATTTGCTTTCTATCTCTTAGTTTTGCAGATAGAAAATTCGTTTTTACAGTGGCTGAGCTTCGGTAAAAGCCCGGCCGTCATGGCGTGTTTTACACTTAATTATACTGGTTGTAAATTCTGACGGCTGTGGTAACTAGTATATCTTTGGATTACATAATTTATTTTATGATGATATCTGATGGAGCATTCATGTTGCACCCCTTGACTTTCTTACTGCACATTGTACTAACACGAATTCGGTTGCAGCGCTCAGTGCAATGTCATTCCTGTGTGTGCTGTCGACGTTAGTTTCTCAAACCACATTCTAAATGCAGGAAAAGGCTTGGATGCAGTAGGGTATTCAATACAGATTTTCCCCTTGTCCTTTGGTAGAATCTCACTTGTAGAGATATCCTTGTCATTACCAAATAGTTCTCTCTCTGTATATTTTCTCTTCTGTACCGTTTTCTCCAGCTACTTATTCTTTTTTACTTGAGCTCTGTTTGGTATCGTGCGAGGCTTATGATTTTTACGTATGACATGTGCATGAGCAATGTTTAAAGCATAACATCCATGACATTCAGATGTATTACTTGTTCAGTTGATGATAGGATTATTCATGAAGCTAAGAAGTATAGTCAATGTTGAATTTGAAAAAAAGAACACATTTACTCAATAGATTGCCCGGAGTTTGATTTAGCTCTAATATTACAGAAACTCCTAACAAGGGCTAGTGGCTCTTACCCAGTCACTTCACCATGGACGCCGATGGAATTCTAGTATGATCCTTGTAGTGTTTTTTTTGTCATGATCAAGTTGTTCTTGTGCTTGTTGCATTTGA